ACACACACACACACACACACACAAACAGACAACCCTCGTCAATATGCATTTTTTGCACTACACAGATGCAAAAAAAACCCATAAAAATTGGCTCGCATGGAATGAATGTGTGTTGCAGTGATAAATATAAAATCGCCCCAAATCTTTTTTTTTCATTTTTTTTTTCCAATTTTTTTGGAGAAATGCTTGTAACTAGTTATTATTAGATGTGACAAAAATATACCACTGTGTTTGATTCGTGCCCAAATTGTTTCACATGTCCAGCAACGATAGAACACAATACTTTTGCCGGGGAAATGATCCGAGAGTCGATAAACGCGTACAAGATCCGGATTATCCCGTTCCGGGATCATAATTGATGATAAGCTAATCTTCATCGGTAAAACTGTGGATGAACGATCAGCACTGTCCGGCAATGATGGACTGGAAAAAAGTTTCGTACAAAACACAGAATTCATCGATCAACTTATTTTTGTGTAGCAATTTCTACTCGATTCTGAACTAAATATTAAAAAATAAGGTAGGAAATGATGAAATAGGAAAAAAAACATGAAGGAAAGAAAAACGAAGTGGAAAAAAGGAATGGAAGTATGGAAATATCTGTAATAGATAAGAAATGTTTCGGTCCATTAAGTCGTACACATTTCTTTCCGTTACCACAATTGGATAAACAAAATCCTTCTTTCGCCTGATGCGCAAAAATCTCGCAGTTTCAGCTAACGCTAAGAAGTGCAATTAATCCGTTCATGAATTTCCCAAATCACAGATGAAAATTTTGCTGACGCCTAATAAAAACCTTCGAAAGAATAAACTGCGGCCGTTAGAAGGCCGAGTCGTAATCTTAAGTCCAACTGTGGTAACGGTAAGAAATGTATACGACTTAGTGGACCGAGATATTTCTTACCTAATTTATTATTTCTATCTTTCCTTTTTTATTCCTTTTTGACCTTTTCCATCATCCACTTGTACACATTTCAACTAAATTTTTACTTAACCTTAATTAGAACAAATGGAGGGTCCAAAGAAATCAAAATGTGGAACGGTCGGAGTCAGAAAGTCAAAACTACCAAGGGTGGGATAAGTTTGCTAAAATAATTTGCGGCTGTTGGTAGGCCGAATCGTATTCTTAAAAACAAGTGGATGGTGCAAAGAAAACAAAATGTGGAGGGAACACAGTCCGAAAATTTTAACCTAGCATGGAGTTACTTTAATAAGTTATGATGGAAAAAATAGTGGGTCAATTCGTGTGGCACAAAACCGTGTGACATATTGAAAGGTCAAAACCGCATGACAGTTCGAAACTTACTTTTAAACTGTTTGCTTACAGGTAAAACAGAGACAGGCCCTGGACAAATGCCCTCAAAGGCATTTCAATAATATCAGAATAGATACTCCCCTCCCCCTTTGTTACCCA